CTGTCATCCCAACACTCGGGAGGCTGAGACAAGAAGATCTAAAATTTAAGCCCACATCTGCCTGGCAAGTGCAAGGACCCGACTTCAATCCCCGGTACCAAAAACATAAATAAAGTTTAAATCCAGCCTGGATAATTCAGTGACTTAAGGAGACCCTATGTCAAAAAACCCTCAAAACAAACAACAGAAAACCTCCCAGCCGGCCGTGGTGGCGCACACCTGTAATGCCAGCACTCAGGAGGCTGAGGCAGAAGGACTGTCCCAAGTTTGAGGCCAGCCTGGGCTACATAGCAAGGCCCTAATCTCCAAAAGCCAACCAAGCAGACAAACACCGCAAAAGAAGAGGGCCTGAGATGTGGAGTAGAGTGCTTGCCTAGCATGTTTAAGTCCTGGATTCAGTTGATTCCATCCCCATGCTGGGATGGGGGTGGTGACTGTCACCACACAGAAATACAGAACTTCTGGACTTCTGGACTCTCCCCCAACGCACACACATGTATCTCTTTGATCATTTGAGCCCCTCTGTCCGCACAGAAAGCGGCATTATCTGGGAACTGTAGAAAACAAAGCGCCACCTCTGAGGCCACAGGCCGAGGGCAGCAGGGAGTCAGTCGCCCGTCCCTTTTGTCCCGTCCCGCTGTGCCGATTGCCCAGTGTCCCCGGGGGCGCTGTGGGTGCCGAGGCCTTTGGATGGGCCGGGTGAGTGGAAGTCATCAGTTCAACATGGGAGAACCACGTCACCCCTCCCCAGAGCCCGCCGTGTTGTCTGCATTGTGACTCTTTCCCAGAGGACGACACACAACAGTGAGCCCCTGCGACTGCTTTCACATGTACAGAGCTGGTCCTGACAGGAAATGAGTCGGAATGGTATTTCTGTGGATGGAGGACACAGACAGTGCCTCTGAGGCGCCTGGGCGACATAGTACACCCAAGGCTCCTGCTGGATGGCCCTGAAAGTTGAGAATGCAAAGTGGCCCTAAGGACACTCAGGCAGCCAGCTATCTCCTGGGAAGGACAAGGACACAAGGACACTTCACTGAGGGGGGGTACAGGAGAGTGAACCCAGACAGCACCCCAGCCCTTTTTATGTTTTGACACAGAGTCTCGGTTGCCCAGGAGGGATTTGAACTTGCAGTCTGCCTGCCTCAGCCTCCCTCGCTGCTGAGACTGCAGGCATGTGCCATCATGCCTGGCCCAAGTCTTTTTTTATCAGTCATCTCCCAAAGGGCTGGGGGTGTAGCAAGGTGCTTGCCTGTATTTGAGGCCTTGGCTTCTATCCCAGTACTGCAAAAACCAAAATGTCCCCAGCCACCTCCCCTCCTGGCCAGCTCCATGCCGCTGCTGATTCTCATGCTGCTGAGTGCTCTTTCCTAAGGCACGACCCTGGCAGTGTTCCTTCTGCGCTGAATGTGTTTAAACCTCCTGGAAACAGCAGAGCGCTGTGGAGCCCTGACCCTGCTTGCAGTCCTCAGCTTAGTCACCCCACTTCACAACAGTGCCGTTTCCTTCAGCCAAGGGCCGTGCCCGTGTCGCTAATGAACCACGACGTGCCAAGGTGGTGTTGGCACTCTGTGACTTGTGTGTTGCTGCTGCGGAAAAAATAGCTATTCTGTTTATCCTATAACGCAGCTTCCACTTGTAAAGCAAAGGAGAATCTCCTCTGAACCTCACTGGGATTTGAAGGTATGGTACTCTTAAACGGCATGGTGGCACACACCCATAATCCCAGTACCTGAGAGGCTGAAGCAGGAGGATTGCCACAAGTTCGAGACCAGCGTGGGCTACAGAGTGAGATGGAGTCTCAAACGTTTTTTAAAAGATAGGAAAAGGAAGGGCTTCTGAACACCACCCATTCCGGGGGCCTGAGTTGTGACTCAGGAGGAGAGCACTCGCCTAGCCTAGCAAGGCGCAGGGCCGATCCCTTGCACAGCAGTGCGCCTTCTCACGCAGCGTGTCCTGTGTGTCTTTCAAAGAGTGAAGGAGGAGGTGTTCTGGAGGAACTACTTCTACCGCGTGTCCCTCATCAAGCAGTCGGCCCAGCTCACGGCCCTGGCCGCGCAGCAGGCCTCAGTCAAGGAGGAGAAGAGCAGCCCCGCAGGCGCCGACTCGCCGTTCACAGGTACCTTCCCGGCCTCCGTGCCCACCGGGCTGCCAGCCAGGCAGCAGGGAGCAGGGCCCTCCTCTCTCTCGAGCACCAGGCCTCTTTCCCCACATTGTTCTTTTTTGTTTACAGCGCACAGCGCACTGTTCACGTCCATCGAAGGGAGTAGGTCCATGTCCTTAGTACATCTTAATTCTTTCTATTCCCCTCTCCCTCCATCTCTTGGTCCCCTTCCCATTTGCAAAAGATCTATCTCCCTGTTCCCTATTGTCTGTCTTTTTTTTTTCCCCAGTCCTGGGAATCAAACTCAGGACCTTGTGCTTGCCAGGCAGGTGTGGTTCCATTGAGCTACATCCCTGGCCCTTGTGTATCTTTTATTTTGCTCTTTATTTGTAGAGTATATTGGGTTTCTCACATAAGAGAAACCATGTAATATTTACGCTTATGTGTCTGATTTATTTCATTTAAGGTGCAGCCGTTTTCCTACAAGTGACTCGGCTTTATCCTTCTTTATGGCAGAGTAGTGCTCCATTGTGTGTACACCCCACCTTTCCTACCCCTTGCCAGGTGATGTTTCTACATTCTGTCCTCCACTCTGACTCAGCCGCCTCCTCTGTTTCTTGCCCTTTTATTCCACCTGGCTTCTTGGGCATGCGTGGCCTGCAGGGTAAGGGAACCCCGTATCTGGCATGGCGCTGGGCATTCTCCATCAAACAGGAGTCACTGTGACACACTGGCCCGGGAAGCAGGAAGTATTTTAGCACATCAGCCACTGCTTGTTCTCTGGAATGCTAATGAAAATAAGGAATGTGTTTCGGGTCACCTTCTCCTTGGTGAGGCCTGCTGTGTGTAGGAGGACACTGATTTCAAGTGGACATTCATCCCACGTGAAGTGGGGTGCTGTAGCTCATGGAAGCCCAGGTGCTTCGGCAAAAGCACAGCTGTGTAGACTGCAGGCCAGCAAAGGCTTGAAGCTGAATCGGGATCAGGGAAACGCGGTCGAGTTGCTCTGCGACAGAATTTGTCATTTTGCACATAAATGCAGCACACACCCCCACAGACCAGCGTTCTCTACATTTTATTGGAGAATGCTGTTTCACCAAATGCTGCTTGTTAAACAAAATGGACTTAGGATGGTTTTCATAAAGACTACCTATACCTAGTAAGGTGACTAAGACTGAAAATGCAGCCGGATGTGGTAGTGCACACACCTGTAACCCTAGCACTCGGGAAGGCTGAGGTAGGAGCATCGTATGTTCAAAACCAGCCTAGGCAACTTAGGAAGACCTTGTCTCAAAATAAACAAATAATGGGCTAGGGGTGTAGCTCAGTGTAAAGGCCCTGGGTTCCATCCCCAGTACCACAGAAAGAAAAAAAGGACAGGGCCGGGGATTTAGCTCAGTGGTTCTGCTGCCTGCTTCACAGGCACAAGGTCCCAAGTTCGATCCCTGGTATCACCAAAAAAAAAAAGAAAACGAGGCTGCTGAGAAAAGAGACTATTGAGGTTGAATATTGCATGTTTCGTTGTCCCCTCTGGCTTTCCGAACAACAGGGAAACTTCATAAATCGTGTCATCCTCATCATCCCGAAGAAAGAACAGAATGCATTTTGCTAACACGGAAGGCCAAAATTATTTCCTGCTGGAAATTTTATATAAGGGCATTGAGTATGGTAACATCTCTAAAATAGCCCCAAAAGTGAGAGGTTCAGATGAATTTGCATGGCTAGTTCTTGTAATAACTGGAGAAAAGCTGAAAGCAGACCATCAAAGCTCACTTCTGAAAAGCATTCGGTATCGTCATCCTTGTAGACATCTGTTAGCTGTTACTGTGCTATGTTTTCAGAACTGAAGCAAGCAATTATTGTCTCTCTTATTCTCACTTCTTAGAGGCAGTACGGCCCAAAACACCACCTGTCGTAATCAAATCTCAGCTTAAAACTCAAGAGGTAATACAGTTTTCCGTTGTACCTAGTTGTTGGTCTGGAGGTGAATAACTGGGTGTCTGAGTCACTTTCTCATTCTGGGACACCATACCCGACACCCACAATTTAAAGGAGGAAAGATTTATTTTGACTCTAGGAGGTGTTAGTCCACAGTCTGCTCCAAGGCACAAACCTGGTGGAAGGGTGTGGCAGAGGAAACAGCAAAGGGAGGCACCTCGGAACATAAGCGTCCTTTGGGGACAGGCCAGTTCCCAACCCCGACTGGATTAACAGTCTGCCGCCGTTGAAAAGCCCTCGAGAGTGCGTAGGAGAGTGCCGTCTTCTAAACTTGCAGCTGAGACCCGAGGCCAGGCCATTTCCGGCATGAGTAATCCTAGATGTGCTCCGCTGGGATGGGAGAGCATGGTTGGAGCGGTCCAGGCTGAGGGAGGAGAGGCAGCCGGTAGTAATCGCCCAGTTACCAGGCAACAGTGTAGGTTAGCAGGTTGAGAAGTAGTGCCCGCTGACTCACAGCTAGCAGGGCAGAGAACAAAATGAGGCTTATGAAATTGTGAGACAGCCATCAGCCAGAATCCTAGCCCAGAAATGTCACTTAGAGAAACATCTCAAGAGCTCTTGCTGCCTTTCAGGATGAGGAAGAAATTTCCACCAGCCCGGGTGTTTCTGAGTTCGTCAGTGATGCCTTCGATGCCTGTAACTTAAATCAGGAGGACTTAAGGAAGGAAATGGAGCAACTTGTGCTTGACAGAAAGGAAGAGAAGCCAGCTGTGGTAGAAGGTAAACTAATAAAAAGCGGGCTGAAGATTTAGCTCAGTGGTTCCGGTGCCTGCCTTGCAAGCACAAGGTCTCGAGTTCAATCCCCGGTACCAAAAAATAATAATGATAATAATAAAAACCTTTGGGGCTTTTTTCTCCTAGTTCCAGAGTTGATTGCATAAAATGTTATTAGGAAGCCTAACCATTTACAAAAATACATTGTAAATTCTGCATTAGAATTGATTCCCAGAGCTGGATATGGTGGTGCATGTCTACAACCCCAGCACTCTGGGAGGCTGAGGCAGGAGGATCAAAAGTATGAGCCCAGGGCCAGGGAGTTAGCTCAGTGGTTCTACCACCTGCCTTGCAAGCGCAAGGTCCCAAGTCTGATCCCCAGTACCAAAAAAAAAAAAAAAAAAAAAGTAGCCCAACATTGTCAATTTAACAACATAGACCCTGGTTCAAAATGAAACATAAAAGGGCTGAGGATATAGCTCAGTCTCTAGCAGTCTGGATTCAGTCTCTAGTACCTGGGTACACTGTACATCATTTCTCATTAAGACTTTTGCTGTTCAGAGTGTAGAACTGCAAATAAAGTCCATTGAAATCTGCAGGAGCAAGGGACTGGGGGTAACTAAGTGGCGGACGGCTCACCTAGCATACGTGAGGTCTCAGATTCCAGCCCCAACACTGCAAACCCCCCTAAATCCCATTCCCTCTAGAGGTGGGTGTGTGGACAGGAGCACAGCTCTTTAGCTCCTTCCGGAAGTGGAAGCACTCCCTGGAGCAGGTCTACCCCCGGGGAGAGAAGGGCTCAGCCCCAGGCCCCAGGCCCCAGGCGGGGCAGGAATGGGGCAGGAATGGGGCAGGAATGGGACAAACTGCCCCCTCCAGCCTCCTGCCATCCACGCCTGTGGGGGAGCCACACCCAGAGGCTTCTCCCTCCTGCCTGCTGAAGGCAGCGGAGAGAACTGCAGAGCCTGTTTGCTTTGGCTGGCCGGCCCTGCCGATAGTGAATCCCGTCAGATGAGGTGGGCCCTGTGGCCTCCTTGGCTGCACTGCCCATCCAGGGAGCCGGCTGTGCCCGCAGTGGCACGGCGTGCCTGGGTCAGCCACCAGAGTAGCCTGTAGGGGTGCGCCTGTACCTTGTGGGCCCACTGTCACCAGGGCCTGGGGTCAGAGCTGAGCTGGACTGAGTGGGGATGGAACCCCTGAGCCGGATGCCCTGGCAAGGTGACCTTTACCCTGCTGCTGTGTTTACTGGTGACATGCTGGTCACAGCCCCTGGGGACACAGCACTGGGCCAGAACTCTTAAGGCATTGACTGGCTGCTCTGGCGAGAGGTTTGTCTGAATTCCTGCCTGAGTTAGAGTTCAGAGCAATCCCTATTCTTTTGTTTTGAATCCTGGGGATTTAACCCAGGGCCTTCTCACTGAGTTGCAAACACCCCGTACCCCCTTGAGACTGTCTCACTGAGTTGCTTAGTTGCCCAGGCTGAGCCTGAACTTGCAATCCTCCTGCCTCAGCCTCCCAGAGTGCTGGTATTCCAAGTGTGCACCACCATGCTGGCTTCGTATCCTTTTATATATTGTGTAGCTTGGCCCCCAACCATATTGAACCCCTCAAGGGCAGTTACACCTCATCTCTGAGCACTCGGCAAGCACCGACCTGTACTAGGCATTTGGGAGACAACGCTTTCTGACAGCATCTGTTCTCAAGCTCACTACCACGGCTTTTAGGTTTGCTTTTACCGTAGCTGCTAAGCTTAAGGTTTTAGTGCACACGCGTGTGCCATGCTGGGGACGGGGCCCAGGGCCTGGTGCAGGCTGAACCCTATGCTACATAACCAGCCTACGTTCACTTAAGCAGTGAATTTTAGCTGTTTTTGTTTGAGACAGGGTCTTGCTGTGCAGTTCAGGCTGGCCTTGAATTCACTGTGTGGCCCGGTTCTAGGGTTATGGGTTTGCGCCAACACACCTGGCCAGACTAGCAATTTAAAAAGTAAAGCTAGGAGGGCCGGGGATTTAGCTCAGTGGTTCTGCCACCTTCCTTGTAAGCGCAAGGTCTGGAGTTCGATCTCCAGTACCAAAAAAAAAAAAAAAAAAAAAGTAAAGCTAGGGCCGGGGATTTAGCTCAGTGGTGCTGCTGCCTGCCTCTGAAGCACAAGGGCCCGAGTTCTATCCCCAGTACCAAAAATAAATAAGTACAATAAAAAAAATAAAGAAGGGAGGAGGGGGTGAAGGGAGACAAGGGGAAAAAATGAGAGCCAAGACCTGTCACGTAAAGGTACAAGATCCCAATGATGAATGTAACTGTACTGTATGCCTAAAATGTACCAATAAACTCAATGAGGAAAAAAAATAAGATAACAAGTAAAGCTAAAGTCGAGCATGGTGGAAACATACCTGTAATCCCAGCACTTAAGAGGCTGAGGCAAGAGGACTGCCACAAGTTCAAGGCCTGAACTACATAGTGAGACCTTGTCTCAAAAACAAAGGAAGGCTGACTGAATTGTTAGCAATGCATTATGAGGTCAGAACACATCTTTCTTGTCCTTCTCCTTTGTTTCTTGTAGAAGATTCTGCCGACTGGGAAAAAGAACTGCAACAGGAGCTTCAGGAGTATGAGGTGGTCACGCAGTCTGAGAAGCGAGATGAGAGCTGGGATAAGGAAATAGAAAAAATGCTTCGGGAGGAAAACTAGCTCTCTCCCACAATAAATGAGTAACCCTTGCCATCCATTCAGCCTGACATGAAATTCTTGATGTTGACACTCACTGAATCAGAAGGCACAGAAATTTTTTTTTCAAGCTGAAACTTGTCTCTTCTACTTTATTTGTTTGTTTTTATTTTAGGGGCACTGGGGATTGAACTCAGGACCTAGCACTTGCAAGGCAGGCAGCGGAACCATTGAGTTAAATCCCCAGCCTTGTCTCTTCTACTTTAAAAGTATATAGAACAGTTATTCTAATAATCATGAAAGGGGTGTTTCACGTAACATTTCCTTAGTATAAATCACATTAGAGTTGTTGTTTTGGGCAGTATAGGTATTTTTGCCACAGAAACAGGTAAAATTTTTAGTGTTGTTTTTCACAAGATCAGAAGTATCATTCCTTCTTCAGTCACGGTTCTGTAAGCATTTGTGTTCCTCACTACATTGATGTTGATACTGAATAGATTCTGTTGTTCTTACTGGATAGATTACTCTCAAAATGACCAAATTATACCAAAGAATTTAAGAGGAAGCACTTTCAGAACTGTTTTCTTGCTAGTTTTTTGTTTGTCTGTTTTCTTTCTTTCCTGACCTTGCACCCGAAAGCCAGAAGGTAAGATAATGAAATTGATGGGCCAGGGATTTGGCTCAGTGGTGCCGCCTTGTCCTGCTTCACAAGCACAGGGTCCCGAGTTTGATCCCCGGTACAAAAAAAAAAAAGATCACAAAGTTGATTGGAGACACCTATAATCCCAGCACTCAGGAGGGTGAGGCAAGAGGATCACTATGAGTTCGAGGCCAGCCTGGGCTACACGGTGAGTTCCAGGTCAGTCTCAACTACATAGTGAGACCCTGTCTCAAAAACAAACAAACAAACAAAAAAAAACACGCATGGCTCATGAACTACATAGTGAGACGTCTTAACCAAAAGAATAAAAATGTAAATGTATGAAATTGGTCTGCATGCTACAATGAACACAGCTTGACCATGGGCGATTCTTTGAGGAGCCAGGTGCTACTGCAAATGAGAGCACTTGCCTGGTGTGCCTGAGGCCCTGGGTGCAAGTCGCAGAAAATAGGAAAGCTTATTATGCACAAATATTTGTAAAGGGCCGGGGCTGCCTGGCAAGTGCGAGGTCCTGAGTTCAAATGCTGGTACCTGAAAAAAAAAATTGTAAAAACTGGTTTTCCCCAGATCTTCTGTCTTTCCTTGCTTTAGTCGTTCTTTCTTTGTAAACCTGACCATGAATGTGATGGGATAGTTTTTGTAGCAAGCGGGGCCTTGTGTCCTTTTGTATTAATGACCTTCAGAACCCTGTGTACCCTAAAAGGTTCATGTTTTCGTGGTCACTATATATGGGTGTTACGGCTTTGTCTTAATTAAACTGCCAGTCTTTCTAGCTCTGTGTCCCCTGAGTGTGACTTGGGACCTTACCAGTTAGTCCTTGTCCTCTGCTGTTCCAGCAGGCACATTTTCATGTGGTTTCAATTGTTTAAGAGCTCAGGGTTTCCATCCTAGAAAATTCCTAAGCAATTTGCCTCCCAAACCATTCCTGGTTTTCGGTAGCGTTTATTTCATAAAGGGGAATGAAACCAAGACATTTGTCCATAAGAAAGATGTACGTATCTCTAATTTGGGCCCATAAGAAAGCACACGCATGTGCTTGTCTGGCAGCAGGAAAACTGGGCTGGCCTATGTGTGACAGTTACTTGGGTGTCACAGTGAGCTCCCGTACTCCAGGACACCAGCCTGCTGTCAGATTTCAACAGTGCCACAGTGTGAATGTGTGGATCACATATGCTGAAATGTAGTAAAGACAGCGGGCAGTGGTGGCGCACACCTGTAGTCCCAGCACTTGCGCAGTTGAGGCAGGAGGATCGCCAGAGCCTGACACCAGCCTGGGCCACACAGTGTGGCAGACAGTTTGCTTAGTTAGCATATGAGTGAGGCAGCTGCCTAGGGAAAGGGCCGGAGATGGGGGGAACTGGGCCATATGAATGAAAATTAAAATCAGAATAGACAGTGAACTCTGCTTAGGCCACCAGGAATGCAGCCTTCCTCTTAAAGAAAGGCTTCGCCATCTACTGAGCTCCAGCGTTTTGAGGAATTTAAAATACAATGAACTTTTTCTATAACAGGAAATACAGCCCACCCCTCCTCAAGATTCTGAGGAAATTGTCATGTAAAATAGCCAGTTAGACCCCCGTTTACTGTGAACACTGGGTGAAGGAGCTGGGCACCACGCCCAGGCTGGCCTCCAATTCACCCTCCAGTGTGTGTACCACCTGGACCGGCTGAAATCGTTCTCGCGGCCCCTGGGGCTGAGGTGCAGCTGGGGAAAGAGGCCCCAGTGACAAGGCTGGAGGATGCGATTCTCAGCCTCTGCAGTGCTCAGCCCCTTTGTTAATAAAATCAAGGGACTTGGCTGCTTTCCTGATCACTCGTCCCTGTGCATTGTTTCGCTTTTCTGGGGGGGGGAGCGTGTGGTATCCTGATTTTCGGGTGGGACACAGCGGGCTAGAGAGTGGCACTCATCTCTGCCCCGCTCTATGGCAGCGAAGGACTGGGAAGAAAAGGGAGCAGAACCACGAGACGCCAGGGACGTTTCGGAAGCCGGGAGGCTCAGGGAAGAACTGGAGCAGGCTTGATGTTTGTACTGGGGATTGAGCGCAGGGCCTTTGTACTAAACTACATTCCCAACCCTATTTATTTAGGGTACCAGGCATCAACTCAGGACCTTATGCTTTCGGGGCAGACACTTTGCCGCTAAGCTACATTCCTGCATTCCTGGCTTTTTTGTGGGAGGTGGGGTTCTGGGTCTCAACCTCAGGATCTTGTGCTTTCAAGGCAGGTAGTGGAACCACTGAGCTAAATCCCCGGCTGTTCTGCCACAGCCTTAAGTGGAAAGTCCGGGGTGGGTGTAGAAGCACACTGTTGGAAGATACTGAAGCAGACACATGAAAATCCTGAATTTAACAGGGTGCTTCCCAAGAAGTGGGAATCCCAGCCACAGCATCTTGCAGCTGGGTGTGGTGGCGCACACCTGTAGTCATAGCACTTGGGAGGCTGAGGCAGGAGTATCTGAGGTAAGTTCCAGGAAAGCCTCGGCTTGCATAGTCATTTCAGGGCTAGTCTGAACTACATAGTAAGACCCTTTCTAAAAATAAATAAGCCTTATGTAAACGAGGCATGTTGGCAAAGCCTGTAATCCTAGCACTTTGGGAGGCAGAGGCAGGGGGAATCTCAAATTCTAGCCTGGGGAAATTGTCAAGACCCTGTTTGAAAATAAAGAAGACACTGGGGATATAGCTCAAAGTGAAGGCCCAGATTCAATCACCAGTACCACAAAATGATGGTGATGATGGTCGGAAAGGCTCGTGTGATTTGACTTCTAAAATGAAGCGCACAGGTCATTTGTGTATATTTTTAAAGAACTACCTACTTGTGACCCGGATATGGGAGGAAAGGCAGCAACATTGTAGATGGGGTTGTACAATTGTGACATATTCCCAAGGGGCAGTTGGGCAATAGGAACACAGTGTTCAAAGTGCGCTGGGGATTTACGCCAAGGAGGTCGTTGAACCAGCACTGCTTCCATTACAAAACAAACACTGGGACCTATCCACGCATTCCTCTTCCACGCTGGATGTCAGCGAACCGTGGCTCATCTGGACAGTGGAACTGAATGCCCGAATCTTAAGGGATGGATTTCATACCCACTTTGGTCAAAAACATAAGCCCTGGGTCAGGCGTGGTGGGACACGCCTGTCATCCCGAGCACTCGGGAGGGAGGCTGAGGCGAGAAGATCACCATGAGTTCCAGGCCAGCCTGGGTACCTAGTGAGACCCCGTCTCAAAAATAAATCAATTAAAAATCGGGCCGGGGATTTAGCTCAGTGGCGCTGCCGCCCGCCACGCAAGCAGGAGGACCTGAGTTCATCCCCGGTACCAAGAAAAAAACAAATTAAAAAATCAAAACAGTTACCGAAGGCCAGATATTATACAGCAGGATAAAAGGGCCTGACTCATGAGATGGAGCCGAGCCAGCCAAGCCCAGCCCTGACGCAAACACCAGCTCCGGCCCGGCTTCTAACCCCGGGGAAGCGTGCTAGGAGGGGAAGGGCAGGAAGAGGCCAAGCGCACAGGCGAAGGGAACCGCTGCTCCGGGGACAAGGAAGCCACTCAGCAGCTCAGGAGCCCGGAGCGGTGCAGTCTCCAGGGCCCAGGACGGCCGCACTCCTCGCATGAACCCCTCCTGCGGCGCCAGGGGCTGTGCAAATGCGCCGAGTCACCGCCCCGCCCCGGGGGCTGTCGCAGCGGGAGGGGACAGGCCCAACCCAGACTCCACAGGGGTGGGGGGACGGAACGGCCTTTTGTTTGGTGCTGCAGGCCTGAGTGCGGTCTCTCTCCTCGGCTAAAGATTTTGTGGAGCACTTAGAATAATGGTGCGGTGGGGCTGGGGACGGAGCGCAGGGACAGATGCCTGCTGAGCATGCGCAAGTGGCTGGCTCAGCTCGGGCAACATGGGGCTCTAATTCCGCATTCCAGCGGGTCCCCAATGTGTGAACTACAGCTGGCCAGGTCCAAAGATGCGTATTACAGGTTCCTCCAAAAATGCGTAGGTGTGTGTTGGGTGTGTATGTGCATAGAAAAAAGACATAGAAGGCTTACACCGAAATGTTAACCGTGGTCGGACCTTTGTGCATTTTAACTTTCTTCTTCCTTTTCTGTGTGTGTGTGTGTGTACGTGTGTACTACGTATTGAATCAAAGGCCCCACACTGAGCTACATCTCCAGTGTCCTACCATTTTAAATATGTTATTGCAAGACAGGGTGTTGCTAAATCACTACTTGCGATTCTCCTGCCTCAGCCTCCCTGAGTGCTGAGAGGACAGGTGTGCACCGCCATGCCCAGCCCTTTCTTGGTTTTTTTGTTTTTTGGTTTTGGGGGGATTTGGGGGGGCTTTTGTTGTTGTTGTTGTTGTTGTTTGTTTTTTGTACCAAGGATCGAACTTAGGACCTTGTGCTTGCCAGGCAGACGTGGTGCCATGAGCTAAATTCCTGGCCCTTTTTTATTTTTATCAATGGTTTCAGAAATTTCTGTATTTAACATAAGAAGAAAAAAAATCAGTGACAGTTGGG